GATGACAGAGCTGAAATATTAGTTCCCACGGCCATCTTAGCCACTAGGAACTACACCAAAAGAGGAGAAACTAAGAAGCAGGTACTGGTTCAATGAAGAGAGCAGAATGCAGATGAAGCCACTTTGGAAGATGAAATAAATATTCGAAGTCAGTTTCCAGAGTTTAGCCTTGAGGACAAGGCTTTAGTTCATGAATAAGGCATTGATACGTATCCAAGAGATAATAAAAATAGGTGGGGCAGAGTTTATAAGAGGAGAGAAAAGGGTGACGTGGTTTTGTGAGGGAATTGTGTTAGTTAGAAGATAGAGAAAATGGTTTGTTATATATTATGAGGTGTAGGGTGTGAGGGGGGAGACGTTTTGGTTTTTCGGTGGAGTGGGAGGAGAAGAATTATTACGATTCTTCTCAGGAGTGAGGCTCTGGGCAGAGGGTCTTGAACCTTCTGAGTTTTCTGTTTTATAATAACAGTGAATTTTCACCATTCTACTTTTCACACTTCATATTCTCTATTGTTCCATTTATTCCTAAACTCTTATTTCTATTAGTATCACAATGGAAATACAAACTGGAATTACTTCAAGAAACCAACATGCTTGGGTGCAAGGCAGCCAATACTCCCATAGAACTGGAAAAGAGAGGTAAAGAAGAAAGTCCACCAGCTGATTAAGATAGATATCAAAACCTAGTTGGGAGGCTAATCTACCTAACTCATACTAGGCCTGATATGTTGTGAGCTTGGCTAGTTGCTATACATCTAACCCAAATGAAGCCCACATGAAAAAACGGCAAACAGAATCCTCCAATACCTCAAAGGCCCACCAGGTCAAGGACTCTACCTCAAGAAGAACTCAAACAGAGGCATTGAAGTCTATACTGACTCGGATTGGGCAGGATGCCCCTCTGTTGTGTGGGGACACTCCATGACTTGTAGAAGCAAGAAGCAATTGATGGTGACAAAGAGTAGTGAGCACCAGAATTCAAAGCTAAGGCTTATCTGTTAAGGAATCTGGCTTAAGAGGATGCTGGAGGAAATCAGAATTCCTATGAATTATATGAATTACGCTATTAGGATATTATGTGACAACAAAGCTACTATAAGCATTGCAAAGATCCCAGTCCACCATGATATGACAAAGCATGTGGAGATTGACTGACACTTCATTAAAGGAAAAAGTGATCATGATATTACAAGTGTTGACCATGTTTCATCATTCAGACAAACAGCAGACATCCTGACAAAGGCTCTTCCAAGGAACACGTGAAAACATTAGATCCACTGTGAGTATGATAGAAATCTACCACCCAGATTGGGGGAGTGTTGGAGATCAGCAGATATCAATCAGAATCGTTCAATTCTGATTTGTACAGCCCATAATAAAACTTAACATAAATATGATTAGTTTTATTTCCTTATATATGTAGAGCATTTATTGGGAGAATTATTTCCCTGGTTTTCAGGGATAGATTAGTGTACAAAATTATTCCCTTGTATTCTATTTATACCTCTTTTTGTATATTTCACAAATCAGAAAATATACATCATATTTTCCTCAAATGCTTTAAGGAAAACATAGGAGGATGTTAAATTACAATTGAAGGTGTCTTATGTGCAGAATAAAGGAGAAATAATGTTGTATTTGGAGGGGGTGCAAGAAATTTCTTGGCTTCAAAATGGGAAAAGGCCTCTAACATCATCAGCTGAGGTGCTTTACCCTTTGCCAAGGAGAAAATGTTTAGGGCAAGATTATTAAACAATAGTGTTAATTTGTAAGCTCAGTTTTCTGCTCACACAGGCAAATTGAGCTGAAATGATTTTGGAATCAAATCTCAATACTAACATAAACTCATGCGGGAGCATATAAAACTGTTAAAAAGTACAAATTCATCTCCAAGTTAGCAAGTCACCTCCATACCCATTTAGAGCGTTGCAACACCCTACCACTCCTCCAAAGATCGTTGGGTCACAGAAGCGGCACATTTTGACCCGAATTCATTTTGGCAGCTAGCTGTTTCACTCATGACAACATCTTGCTAGTTCTGGACATGACTGTCACTTGAAGGGAGTGCCACTGTCTTTACATGTCACAGCACAGAAACTCTCAAGAATATTGTTTATGGTAAGAACAGCTTGATGGAGAGAATAGATATAGGAAAGACTATAGTATCACCACCAGAAGGTTGGATATATTTGAGGGGTGGGATGGTGAGAAATAGTTAGGCAAAAAGGGGTTTTAGGAATTTTCCCATTGTTATATTCAATTTCTTTTGTTGAAATTTTCTCGAGAATTATGTTTACAGAGGTCAACCACTGGGAAAAAGAAGTATATATAGTCTAAAACATATAATTTCCAGTTTCTACATCATAGCAATATATATTAAATCACTTACTTATGTACTCTATGGACTGTTACCTTTTTATGAAAGCACCTCTCCTTTCTTTCTTTTCTCTTTTGGCGAAATTTAGTTAAGGCTGCTTCCCTTTGAGAAGTCTTGTTTTGATCTACTCTGTTGGCACTTCTACTTCCACTAGCATCTCCACTGCCACTATTCCCAGGGAGTCCATTGTTGCTTTCCATGTTTGTTCCTCCAGCATTAACTGCTGTGCTGCCCCCATTTTGGCCATTGCTTCCATTGTTGCTTCCTGAAACACTTCTATTGATACTGAGGTTTCCAACATTACTTTCAACTAGCACTTCTACCACATTTGATGAACCACAATGTGGAGTAGCAGCAGTAGCCAATTTCTTTGCAGATTCAGCATCATGATCAGGTGGCAGCTGGTGCATGTCATCAGTACAGTTATTGTTTTCATAATGGAGATGGAAGTCTGGAGCAGCAGAATCTCTATGTCTGTCTACTTTAGGTAATGCCAGCATTGTTGCTGCTTTATCTTCAGTGTTATGTAAGATGACTTGTTGAGATTTACAGACAAGGTTGTTTTTTATAGGCTGGAAAGCGGATGTTGGGTACAAACATTTGGTTGAAGCCACTGCTAGCTCACTTATAACTGCAGATTTAGCATAAGCATTATTAGTAGTGGAACCCATATCAATGTTATTGCTAGCACCATTTGAATTTTGGTTAGGAAGATTGCCGCTTGAATGAGATTGAATATCATGAGATGAATCTTTCTTTGTAACTTCTAAGCTATTATTATAGGGAGAATTGCTTCCAACACATCCAGTGGGAGATTTCTTAGCGTTAGAGGCTGCATTGTACCTGTAGCAAACGAGTTTTAACAGTTAAACAGTTAGTTATCCACCTTAAAATGAATTCAGAACAACAAAAAAATAAACAGTAACATAGTATCATTATACCTTGAGAAAGCAGACTGATCAGAACGTCTTAAGACATTCCTATCATCCTGAATTATAATACCAGTATCTTTAACTCCTCTAGGCCTCTTTAAACTAAGGTCAAGAGATGGCAATTCTTCATCATTATTAGTACCTTTATTTTCACTATCTGAGGACTTCAGCCTTTTATTTAAGGCTTCAAATTCTCCACTATGCATCTGATAATCAGAACTGCTAGTAATGGCTTCAGACAATGATAAACCTTTGCACCTTAGCTTGATTGATTGATTTTCACAATTAAGGTCCAGTGATTTAGAGGGGCCGGCATCAGGTGCATTGCTATGTTTAGAACCTGCAGTTTTGACTGGAACCCCATTGATATAGTTGACCATGAAGTCAATATCTCTATTGAGTCAACTTTCATCTCTTCCAGGGAAAAGAATTAAATACGATAAATCATCCCAAAATAAAGGTATACTCATATACAAGCATGGGCAATACAAACATGAATGCATGAACAGCCGGCGACCCGCACTTAGGGAATCAACTCTCACCATCTCTTTCACATTGTCTAGGGAAAAATAAAATAAATCTTCCCAAAAGAAATGTACATGCATATTACATAATCTGCAACAAGTACATGAATGCATGTATGAACAGCTGGCAACCCACACTTAGGGGAGAGGTTACACATATTAATCGAATGAGATCAATACGTATGAAATGTAATAAGAAACAAAACTAACCTCTACACCCTTTTTTATTAGCAAAAGACAATCAAGTACCCACATTAAAGGGTCTAGAACTTGAGTTTTTCTCATAGAGACTGGTTCCTAAATGAATGTCACCTACAGGGAATTTAACCTATGTTCTAAAGAATCATGTGCTACCAAAAAGGGTACCTAAGGCAAACCCGAAAGCAGAACAACATAATGAAAACAACGAAGAGAATATTAAATCCAATGCTAGGGAAGAAATTTTTTTCTACAAATCCCTAAGCAAGATAGGACATACAATTAATGCCATGAAAAAATTCACTCAACAACACATCATAAAATTGACATTATCGTCAAACACATACAATTTGGTTGACTGTAAGTGAGAAAGTTAAAGCAGTGACATGAAGATCAAGACACTTCGGCCTTACCAAGTTGTTCCTTCTGTTCTGAACACTCCTTTGCACCTAGGGAAGCCTCCTTGTTCCCACCGAGTTCAGCATTGGAGTGAACAACTTGAGCACAAGTACTGTCAGGGCACTCAGCTATTTGATCCCACTGAGAGACAGGTTTGGGACTATCAACTTCTACAGCACGTTTGGTCCATGAGCTCTGCATAATAAGAAAACAAAGAACTTGTCAAGTAGCTCTTGGTTACAGGAATTAGAACATGACCTCCACTCAATAACACTGTCTCAGTTAGTCCCATCCAAGTACGCTGACAATTTTCTGTGGTGTTTGCTGTTTAACTGTTTACTTCACTAAGATATTTGAATTTAGTGATGTTTTAATGAATGACAAGTAAAATTATGAAGGTTTCTAGCCCTTTACTTTTTCACAAACTAACAAGTGAAAACAGCATCTCATGCAAGTCTCATATAACACCACAAGCAGAATCACAGGAAAAAAAAAACAGAGAGAAATGCAAAATTAGGTGTATTATACAATTATCAGAAAGTACTAACGAGAGCACAATTCCTCCAGAGTTACAACTATATTAGAGGTTTCCCTCCTCTCTCCAAGTCACACAATGTCTTCCTACTCTCCCATTCCCACCTCTTTCCCTATATTCACTCCTGTAAAGAATTCTCACTCCCCTGCTGCCAGATTGGCATTCTCTCTTTAGACTAGACAAGGCACATAACGGGCTTCGTGAGATAGTAGCAACTACATAAACCACTTATTTTGCATTAAATTAGTGAAACACAATGCGCTACACTTCCTACTCAATGTAAAAAGATTTTTTACAACATTACAATTCGTAAAATATAAAACTTTCAAATTAACAGGTTGCGTCCAAAGTAAACCATTCATTTGAGTATGTGTATCAGTTATATTTAAGGAGAAATAATCAACTTTCTGATGTACATGGCTGTAAGATTAATTACACCCTGGCGTAGGTGGTTTACATGTAGATACAAAATGAACATGATACTATACTGTGAATGTGTAAGTGGCTAAGGTTAGGCAGTTCAATCTAATTTAAGACCCAACACCATGAAACATAGTCGGGTTGGGTCAATTGACTAAATTGGTCATATATTTTTCAAATTTGAAACAAAAAATCATAAAAGAAACGACATTTATGTACCCAAAATTAGAAAAAGCACATTACTTAAAGTATAAGTCCAATTGTCTACATCACAAGATCTTACACGTACCCTGAATAGCATAATACATGTCCCAAACAACATTAACAATTAATTTACTATTAATGTCAAAACCATGATGGTCATTATGCATTTTAGGAATTTTTTCCTAACTATAATTTTAGGTTAGGTTGCTTTTGTCTCCTCTGATATTGTATACAAGAGAAACTCTCGTGGACGACTAATTTCTGAATTGTCCCTAACTCGGGAACAAAGATGCCCTTGCCAGGAGTAGCTTCAGAAAGATGACTAATTTTTGGAGCTGACCTTGACTCGTGGAACACCTTCTCTATCTACTACTCCTACCATTACTTCTGCAAAACTCAACTGAAAAACTATTTAACTTGGTCTTCTTCCATGGAGTTATGGTTTCTTGGTCAAGGATATCATGATCATCTTGAACAAGATGTTTTCACTATATCTGATGAAGAAATATCTAAGTGGCAAAAGCTTGACTTTCAATTATGCATTGTCCTATGGCAAGGTCTTAGAAATTACGAGACCTTACAAAACTTGCTCCTCTTTTTGGAAAAAGATAGGAGATATTTTTACTAATTGTTAGATATATTATATCTTTTATCTTTTAGTTAGTCGTTATTATTTCTCATTTGTATTTTGGGCTTAGCCCATATTTCTTCTATTATAAATAGAGAACCCTATGTGTGTACAACATCTCTTTGATGCAACTCAAAGGGTGACTTCCCTCAAACAAGCCAATCACGATATGGTCGCTCACATAGGAAAGGCTCGTGCTACTGTAGAAGAGTTAAAGAATTTCTCTGTAACTGATTCTTTAGAAGGTATCAACAAGAAGCTTGATAAGTTTTACATGGTCCTCATTCTAAGAAGGTCGTACTTAGATTTTGATCATGTTCGTGATCAAATTTTAGCTAGTGATCAAGTCCCATTAATGGACAACTTAGTTACTCGACTTCTTCGGGTGCCTACATTAGTAAACAACAAGAATTCAATTGATGGTATTGAAACATCAGCTATGGTAGCACCACAAGGAAGAGGAGGCAGAAGTAACCGAGGAGGACGTGGTGGTCGTAGTATGTGTCCTCAATGCACATATTGTAAGAAAATAGGCCATACCCAAGAGAAATGTAATGCATTACATGGCTATCCAGACAGACAAAGTTGCTCAAGTTTCTAAATCTGATCATCTAGAATCCAGAATTTCAAATGAAGAGTACCAAGAATTTTTAAGGTACAAGTTTGGAAAATCTTCTAATCTTAGCCAATCCTCCTCCATGTCAAATGTGTCAACTGCCTACATATCCAATATGTGGAAGGTCATAGTCTATGGATTCTTGACTCAGGTGCCTCAGACCATATCTCTGGTAACATTCCTTCATTTTCTTCCATGTTCTCTCCGAAAATTCCTCATTTTATTACCGTTGCCAGTGGATCCAAAGTGGCATATCAGGGAATTGGCAAACTTTCCTTATCTCCTTCACTAAATTTAAATTATGTTTTGTATATTCCTCATTGTCCTTACAATTTAATCTCCTTGACCTAATTGACTTGTTGCTTAAATTGTTCTATAACCTTTATTGTTAATTCCTTTGTTATACAAGAACATGGTATGGGTCGTCTAATTGGAGAAGGACATGAGTCTCAAGGACTTTATTTCTTAAAACCTAGTTCTTCAGTTTCATGTTTTACAACTTCATTCCCAAAACTTTTGCATGATCGTTTAGTACACCCAAGTGTGTCCAAGTGGAAGATGATGGTTCGGAGTCTCAAAAACATTTAATTCTTACATTGTGAGTCTTGTCAGTTAGGAAATAATGTTAGATCTTCCTATCCTAAAAGGTATGAGACACAATGTATTTTTCCTTTTTCAACAATTCACTTTGATATTTGGGGACCAAGTCATGTTACTTCGTTTGGTTTTAATTATTTTGTAACCTTCATGGATGAACTCTCTAGATGTACTTGGGTTTATTTAATGAAAGAATGATCTGAACTTTTGTCCATATTTATGTCCTTTTTTAATGAGATTAAGAACAAATTTGGGAAGACAATTAAAATCCTCAAAAATGATAATGCTAAGGAATATTTCTCTGGAACATTTTCTTCATTCATATCTTCCCAAGGAATTTTACATCGGTCAAAATGTCCCCACACTCCACAACAAAGTGGCATTACAGAGAGAAAGAATAGACATCTTATTGAAACTGCACGCTCCCTAATGTTGAATATAATATTCATGTCTCATCATTAAGGCAATGCTCATTGTCTATTTCCTTATCAATAGGATACCTTCTTCCTCTCTTGAGAATAAAGTTCCCCACTCTATCATTTTTCCAAACGACACTCAATATCGTGTCTCCCCACATGGGTGTACTTTTTTTGTTCATAATGTTTCTCTCTGCAAAAGCTATTAAGTGTGTTTTCTTGGGATACTCTCATGTTCAAAAAGGGTATAAATGTTATTCTCCCTCCACCAAGAAATATTATATGTTTGTTGATGTCACATTCTTTGAGGATACACCTTTTTCTTGTTGTCTATGGAGGATCGTTCATCTGCTCAACAAAATGTTTCCCCTACCATTATGTGATCCCTTGGTTATTCCTGCTTCTTTACCTCAAACTCAATGCAAATGACATTGTTCCTCCACCTCTTCTCACATATCAGCGTCGGACATGATCTCAAACTCAAACCACTGAAGATTCTCAAGACCTAGATACTCCTCCATCAGATTCCCTCACCATGGATCCTTCATCCTCCTCACCTTCTCTTGACTCAAATGATAATTGTCCATTGCTCTTCAGAAAGGTATTTGCTCTACTCGTAATCCATATCTTATTCATAAGTTTTTGAGTTATCATTGTTTGTCTTCTCCATATTTCTCTTTTGCTTCTGTTTTATCTTCCATTAAGGTTCCTAATAATGTTCATGATGCACTTGGTCATCCTAGATGGTGCTAAGCCGTGGTTGATGAAATGTAGTCACTTGAACACAATGGCACTTGGGACCTTGTCCCTTCCACCTGGTAAGAAGGTTGTTGGTTGTAGATGAGTTTATGCTATTAAAGTTGGTCCTACTGATACAATTGATCCTCTCAAAGCTCGTCTAGTAGCTAAGGAATACACTCAAGTTTATGGCCTTCACAACTGTGATACTTTTTCTCCTGTGGCTAAAACCAGTACGGTTCGTATTTTCCTTGCTATGGTTGTCATTCGTCAATGGCCCCTTTACCAGTTGGACATTAAAAATGTTTTTCTTCATGGTGATCTAGAAGATGAGATATACATGGCACCAAAAAGTCAGTGACGTCCCGTTTGGCCCATATTTGAGGGACTTCCAGAGAAAGAAAGAGCACTTCCAGACGCCATTCTTTGATAAAAAGAGGAGAAGGAACCAGAAAAACCGTGAAGGACCAGAAAAAACCGTGAAGAACCAGAAAACCCTAGGGGGTTTCTTAGGGTTTTCTTAAAGGGGAGCTTCTGGACACGCCAAAGTAATATTTTGAGGGGCAGAACAGACAGAGGAGCAGAGGGCGACAGCTATGGAGGTGACGCGGCGACTTTCGGGTGAGCAGAGGGCGGCGCGTGGACAGCACGCGCCTGTTCGCAGCGCACAAAGAGGCGGCGCGTGGCGGAGCATGGAGGAGAATCAGGCGAACCCACCGGTGGGGTTGGCTGTCGCGTGAAGAGGCGAACCAGATCCAGTGNGCGGCGGACGGTGGCGGACGGCGGCGAACGGCGGTGGACAGCAGCGGACAGATGCGAGGTGGCGGACAACCAAGTTGAAGAACTACAAAATGCAGTTGACAGCTGCAGATAGTGGCGAGACAGCCGCGGACAACGGCGAACGGCACCGGACAGATGCAAACAGCAGTGACAGTGCTGGTGGACAACCCAGGACAGAAACCAGAGCAGGATGAACCTGCTCTGATACCAACTTGAGATCTAAAACTGAGAAAAATAGTTCTGAAGGGCTTGTTAGACCCTTCTCAATTCTCTTATTTATATAGATAAAACTGACACAATAGATGGATGGAAGATGAAGAGATTGTCCTAGACTGCTAGGAACAATCATTATAGATAACCCAACACACAACTACTTACTTTAGGCCCTGTTATACTAATCATAGGTAGACTTAATAATTATTCTAACAGAAGCCACCAACACAATCTAGTCCTTCACCACCACCAGATCTTGATATGAAAGCTTATAAGGAGGAACTCGAGTGCTTGAAAGCAATGGTTGAATCAATGAGTAAGGCCTCTGGATCATGTACTCTATCTACAAAAGGTAAGATTTGTCTCAATATTGTTGGTCATGTGTCTCAAGGTATTTGGATCCTTGATTCGAGTGCAACTGATCATATGACACTTTTAGTGTGTCCTTCGACTCATGGTAAAAGAAATAAAGAACAACTTATTATAGTTGCGAATGGTCAGGATGATAGAGTATAGGTTTATGAGAGGAGAAAGAAGAGTTAGGGGGGGGGGGGGTAACCGGGAAGTATTTTAGAAGCCTAACTATTACAGTTAGGGGGAGCGGGAATAAGCTCATATAAATAGAGTTGATGTACTTCTGTTTCGAGTTAGCTTGGAATTCTTTTGTAAAGACAGGAATATCCCGTGGAGGGGGATTAGGCTCCCTAAGGGTTATTATACGTGTACATTGATTGAATAGCAATACAGAAATTCTTTCTTTGTGCCATCAGAGTTCTTGTTGTGTGTGTGTACTTGGAGTTGGATAGGTTTCATATTCAGAAACCTATCACAGGGTATACCTATATGCGGCTCTGGGAATATAATTTTGGACTCATCTATTGTATTGAAGGATGTTTTACATGTCCCTCAATTAGCTAATAGTCTTATCTCTGTGCAAACACTCACAAAGGATTTAAATTGTTCAGTAACATTTTTTACAACTTCTTGTGTTTTCAGGACCTTGCCACGGGGAAGACGATTTTAACAGCTAAGTAGCAAAGTGGGTTGTATTTTTTAGAGTTTGATGACCAAAGCAACACAAAAATCATGAGTCAACAAGCTACATCTGGGACATGGGCAAATTCCTAAATATGGTCACATCATCAAAGGCTTGGGCATCCTTCATTTAGTCTTATCAAGTCCTTGTTTCTCAGTTGTTTACCAAGGAGTCTGTTGAGTGTTTTAATTGTAATATTTGTCAATTGTCAAAACACCATCATGCATCTTATCCTATTAGTAATAAAAAAAGTATTTCTCGATTTGATTTAATTTGGGGTCCTGTCATAGATTCTATTTCCAGAGCCAAATGCCTAAGAAAAATTTGAGAGAACCTAAATCTTTGGTATAAATCTGCTGCGTAGGGAGCTCTAATGCCTCAGTTCACCCGTCTTTTGTAAAAGACTAGAATAATCTTCTTTTGTTGGTTTTAAATAAGACATCATGGAGATGTAAATCAGCAACTGGTTGTGTAATGGGTGATTTTACAAAGAGAAAACAGCAATAAGGGTTGCTAAGATGAAATTGCAGCAATGAAGGATTGCACCCTCTTGAAGATAAAATGGAAATGAAGACTGCAAGGGGTAAAAAAGACACCGGGGAAAAAACTTAGCTTTCTGATGCCATGTGAAAAAATGTATAGGCAGTAAGAAATAATCATGGGATACTTTTCTGGATATGAAAAAAAAACAAACATTGGTATTTATAGGAAAAATGAAATCCCAATAAAAGGAAATAAATCTCGAGAAATAAAACTTTTCATCCCAATCCCTTAACTTTAGGGACATATTACAAACAAATCTATATTTATTATTCAATCAATCTATATATCTATATTGTTTAATATTTACACTCATATTTCAACAAGTATGAATTGACAAATAAAAATAAAAGAGATCCGTAAAATCTAACTTTACCCTTAAGATCCATGCATGCGTGATTTTCAAAAAATACTGAATTTATACCTGAGTGCCACTACCATTGTCACTTCCATCCCCATTATTCAGGCCTACACTTCCATTATCATCTTCATCGTTGCTCCCAGAATTATTCTCAGACTTCTCAAGACTCTTTGATTTAACAGACTTCTGTGTTTGCGTTCCACTTTCACTGCCACTCCCGCTAGACTGCAATGCTCATAATTGACAAAGTAAACAAAGGTCCACATCATATGAAATAGACAATTTTAAGCATGAAATAAAGTATCACAAATCTTACATTGACATTGAGAAAAAATCCATGGACATTTATTTAATAATAATAATAATACTAATGGTAGTAGTAATAATCAGTAACTCTCGCGTTTACATCAATCCTACCATAGTATTTTTAGCCCATAGATTTAGCAAAGGCAACAGACTGCTTGTATCTTCATACATATTATTGGCCATAAAGAAAAGGAAATAAAAAATATAGCGTGAGGAAAGAAAAATTCAAATCAGCTTACACTGTGACATCTTCTCCAAACGTGCTGCCACAGGTTTTTGAGCTCATTCTTTCGAATGGGTTTGACTAGAAAGTCAACGGCACCCTTTGACAAACACTTAAAGACTAAACCCATAGAATCAAGAGATGACATCACTGCAGACCAATTTCATTAGAAGCCATAGAAAAGAGTAGCTCTTTTACGGTATGTGATGAGAAAAAGAAATGCTTCAAACAAAACATATACAAGCACTTGGAAAAACTTACTAACTACTGGAATATTTTTCCGAGTTTTGTGGCCCATAATCTTGTACAGAAGACCAATGCCTGATAAACCAGGCATTGCCACTTCAGTTAAAATGAGATCAATATGATTGGTTAAATCCTCCAATATCTTCCAAGCTTGCAATCCGTTAGCTGCTTCAATAACTGAAAAAAAAAACAAAAACACATTAAGCTCTCATGTAACAGTATTACACTCGTCACAGAATTATATTAAAAATTATTAGTCAATCGATACATAAGAGCTTGCTTTACAATAATTAAACATAACAACAGAAACTGAACTCTTCAAAACTAAAGTCAGGCAGGCTTTACATGCTTGCTTGGCCTATATTGTAAAGGAGTCCAATAGAGCACCTCTATATTTAGGGGCAACCAGGTCCTTTCCCTGTAGCTGTTTCTACTTTACCATGAATAAAATCGGGACCATAGTTGTATAATGTAATAATCCTGTGCGTGACAACAGATTGCTTTTATGCCATATACTTACAGGAACTAGGATATAAATTTTCAATATAATTATATATTTATTTTGTTGTAATTTGAGATAATATCTTTAAAATCTTCCTAATTAGAGAAAATAGATACATAATCTTTTATTTTATTTTATTTCTCCTAGTTTTCCTAGTTTTCCTATTTTCCTATTTTCCTATTTAGGAGAACTAGATTATTACAAATAGAGAGTATGAGAATGTATTTTTTATGATTTGAGAATAATAAAACAAGTCTTATTTTAAACTTGGTGTCAAAGCTCCTGGGCTCGATTCCGCTGCAACAAGTCATACCGCCGCCGATGTCCGACAACAGCCCCTGCCACCGTCGCCGGTTGGGGTCATTGATAGGGCAGAAAGGTGCGCCGAACACCGCCGCAACAGACAGGGTCGTCGGAGCCTCCTGAGACTATTCCTAGGGTCGATGACGACTCGTTTTGGCTGTATTTGAGTAGATCTGAGTTTTAAGTTTTTCTCTTTTTTCTCGGTGTGACCCACTCGCCGTCGCCGCCACAGAAGAGTCGTCGGAGCCTCCTGAGTCTGTTTTTAGGGTTGGTGATGACCCGTTTGGCCTATATTTGAGTAGATTTGAGTTTTAAGTTCTGCTCCTTTTTTTCTCTGTGTGACTCATACCCTGTCATCGTCTTGGAGACTCCTGGTTGCGTTCTACGGGATGTCTGAAGTAAAAATTACTCTTTTGAAAGCAATGGATGAATTAATGAGTAAGCCCTTTGGATCATGTACTCTATCCATAATAGGTAAGATTTGTCTCAATATTGTTGATCATGTGTCTCAAGGCATTTGGATCCTTGATTAGGGTGCAACTGATCATATGACACCTTTCAGTGTGTCCTTCGACTCATATGGTAAAAGAAATAAAGAACATCTTATTACAGTTGCGAATGGTTAGGGTATACCTATATGCGGCTCTGGGAATATAATTTTGGACTCATCTATTGTATTAAAGGATGTTTTACATGTTCCTCAATTAGCTAAAAGTCTTATCTATGTGCAAAAACTCACAAAGGACTTAAATTGTTCAGTAACATTTTTTCCAACTTATTGTGTTTTTCAGGACCTTGCCACAGGGAAGACAATTTTAACTGCTAAGGAGCAGAGTGGGTTGTATTTTTTAGTGTTTAATGACCGAAGCAACACAAAAATCAT